TAGGTAACACATAGTATATAGTTCCTGTCTACCAGAGGCATAGATCAGAAACATAACTCATATATTATACATATTATATATCATACAAATATATACATTGATAGTTTAATTTTTGTTCATTTTAATATTCCATGTACTCTAGTTTGAGAAATTGGGAAGTATCATCATGAAGGCTAGGTGGTAGATGATTTAGGGGAGATAAGTAATGTAACCCAATGAATAGGATTCTGAACATGCAGGAGTTAATAAAAGTTCTTCCTGAGGACAGAGAAGTGACTTGATGATAATAAGTACAAATATTTCTACACCTTTGGCCTATTAGAAAGTAGGACATTTCCAGGAGCCAAGATGGCAGAGTAAGAAGTAAGTCACTCTCCCCCTTCCTTATTGACCTCTGGAAGGCCAGAAAATATCACCCCAGGAAAAACCCTGGAACAGCTGAGCCAGCAGAAAGACAGGGTACAAAAGTCGTGTAGCCCAGGGAGCTTGGGTAATTAACGGGAAAGGCCCATCTTGCTCTAGGGGAGAGGGAACAGTACAGGACGGGAGGCATCCCAGCAAGCCTGCAGCAAGCCCTACCACAACAAACCAGATCCTGAGCCCCAGGGTGGTGAAGCAGGCAAGCGCCAACACCAGGACTCCCCCCCTCCCCAAGTGCCTCAGCACAGGCAGGGGACCTGGTAAACATCAGCTTGAAAAACCACCATGTGTGCTGGTGTTCTCCAACAGCAAAGTCTCCTAGTGCTTTAGCACAACTCCAGGCTGGCAGACATTCTCCAGCAGCCAAACACTCAAGTGCTTTAAAGAAACCCAGGTGAGCAGGCATCCTCCAGGGGCCAGACTCCCCACCCCCACCCCAAAAGTTCCAGTGCTGCTGACCCCAGCTCAAAACCAGGTAAGCTGCCAGTCTCCTACAGCCCCCAGCTGCCAGCACCTGAGGCCTCAGCGCACAAAGCCAGTGACCTCAGGTTTTCAGTACAAGAAGCTTGGGTCAGTGCCCCCCTGCATTCCAGAGGGAGAGCTCAACTTTAAAAGCCAGGAAATAGGCAAACACCATGAGCAGAAAGCAGAAACAGCCAATGACCATAGATTCTTATTATGGGAACAGGAAAGATCAAGGCACAAATTCAGAAGAAGACAACACTGTCAATATACCCACATCTGAAACCTCAAAGGGGAGTATGAACTGGTCTGAAGCCCCAAAAGCCTTGGTGGAAGAGCTCAAGAAGGATTTCAAAAGTCAAATAAGAGAGATGGAAGAAAAATTGGGAAAGGAAATGAGAGGTATGCAAGAGGGAGTCAATGGCTTGGAAAAGGAAGGACAAAATTTCACTATAGAAAACAAGTCCTTAAAAATACAGTTGTCCAAATGGGGAAAAAGTACACTGAAGAAAACAAGTCCTTAAAAAATACAATTAGCCAAATTGAAAAAAAAAAAGTACAATGAAGAAATCAACTCCTTAAAAAATAGAATTGGCCAAATGGAAAAAGAGGCACAAAAACTCACTGAAGGAAAAACTCCTTAAAAAATAAAATGGGCCAAATGGAAAAAGAGGTACATTGTCTGATAGAAGGAAACAATTTGTTAAAAACTAGAATTAGGCAAGTGGAAGCTAATGACTGTATGAGATATGAAGAATCAACCAAACAGAAACAAAAGAATGAAAAAATAGAAAAAACATAAAATACCTCACTGGTAAAACAACTGACCTGGAAAATGGATCCAGGAGAGACAATTTAAAAATTATTGGTCTACTTGAAAACCATTCTGAAAAGAGCCTGGACAGCATCTTTCAGGGAAATCATCAAGGAAAACTGCCCTGAGGTCTTAGAACCAGAAAATAAACAGTCATTGAAAGAGTACACTAATCACCTCCTGAAAGAGATCCCAAATTGAAAATGTCAAGGAATATTGTAGCCCAGATTCCAAAATTACCAGGTCAAAGAGAAAATATTGCAAGCAGCCAGAAAGAAACAATTTAAGTATTATGGAACCACAGTCAGGATTTCACAGGACCTTGCATTTTCTACATTAAAAGATCAGAGGGCATGGAATACAACATTCCATAAGACAAAGGAGCTTGGGTTACAACCAAGGATCAACTACCCAGCAAAATTGAGCATAATCTTTCAGGGGAGGAGATGGATGTTCAAAGAAATAGAGGACTTCCAAACCTTCCTGATGAAAAGACCAAAATTTGATCTTTAAATACAAGACTCAAGAGAGGCATAAAAAGGAAAGAAAAAAACATGTTATTAATAAAGGCAAACTGTTTACATGCCAACAAGGGAAGATGACACTTGTAACTCTTGAGAACTGTATCGTTATTGTGACATTTAAAAGGAGTATACATATAAAAAGGGTAGACAGAGCATGTGGGTATAAGTTGACTTTAATGTGATGATAAAAAATCTAATTAAGTGATGAAAAGAGATTGTTCTAGGAGAAGAGGAAAGGAGGAGGCAGACAAGGGTAAATTATATCACATGAAAAGGTACAAAAACCTAATGCAGTAGAGGGAAAGAAGGGAGAGAAAAGAGCGTTGTTTGAACCTTATTCTCATCAGATTTGGCTCAAAGAGGGAATAACATAATCAGTTAGGTATAGAAATCTAACTTACCACATAGGAAATAGGAAGGGAAAGGAGAAAGAAAAAGGAGGGGGTAGGTAGAAGACAGGGAAGTAGTAGTAAAAGGGAAGAAAAGGGGGGGGGCTGATAGAAGGGAGAGTAGACTGAGGAAGGCGGTGGTTGAAAACAAAACTCTAGTGAGGAGGGAAAGGGAGAAAGGAGAGAGAAAAGCATAAACGGGGGAAATAGGATGGAGAGAAAGACACAGACAGTAATCATAACTGAATGTGAATGGAATAAATTCTCCCACAAAATGGAAGACAGCAGAGTGGATTAACAACCATAATCCTACAATATGTTGTTTAAAAACCTGGACAGACATAGGAAATGATACTGAGTGAAATGAGCAAAACCAGGAGAACATTGTATACACTAACATATTGTACAGTGACTGACTTTGATAGACTTAGCTCTTCTCAGCAATGCAAGTATCTTAGACAACTCAAAAAAACTCATGATGGAAAATGATATCCACATCCAGAGAAAGAAACATGGAGTTTGAATGCAGATGGAAGCACACTATTTGCTCTCCTTTTCTCTTGTTGTTTTGTTTCTTCTTTCTTGTGGTTCTTCCCATTAATTCTAATCCTTCTTTCCATCATGACTAATGTGAAAATATGTTTGATATGAATGTATAAGTAGAGCTAATATCAGATTGCATGCCATCTTGGGGAGAAGAGAGTAAAAAATTTTAAATTCAAAATCTTATGGAAGTGAATGTTGAAAACTAAAAATAAATAAATTCATTTAAAAAAAGTAAGACATTCTGGGTAGAGGAGGAGGGGGATAAAAATGCGTTTATTTGACAAGAGTGAAGGTGATGGGTGAGCATATGTGATGTTTGTTGTTGTTGTTGTCATATCTGACTCTTCATGATCCCATTTAGGGTTTTCTTGGCAAAGATATTAAAGTGGTTTGCCATTTCCTACTGCAGCTCATTTTACTGATGAGGAAACTGAGGCAAACAAAATTCAGTGATTTTCTCAGTAAGTGTCCGAGGCCAGATTTGAACTCAGGAAGATGAGTCTTCCTGACTTTAGGCCTGGCACTCTATCCACTGGGCCACCTAGCTCCCCTATCATATGTGTGTAGTCAGAAATGAACTGGCAGTGAATTTTAAAGACTAGAAGCATTTGGTGACTGAGAAGATGAAGCATTTGGTGCACAAGGCTTTGAAAAGCCAATGGGAGGATACAAGGATGGAAGTCACACATTCAAAGTGCTTATCTCTTCTAATAGGTCATTTTTAATGTGTATTTACTTCACATGACTCTTCAGCCTTTCCAAAGGTAGAAGGTTTACAATTAGTATTTTAATAGAGCAGACTGTCCTGAGTGGGTGTTGGTTTGTATGAGTATGTGTGATTTTTAAGGGAAAAAATCAAGAATAAAATTTATGTGAGGAGACTACAGTTAGGGACTGGGGATTGCAAGGATTTAAATTTTAATGTGGGTTCTGACACTGATCCATTCAGTGGTAATATAACTTTTTTTTTCTTTTGTTACCCACAACATAAGATTCATAAGACTGATAAATGAGGAAGCTGTGGCAAAGAGTATAGACTGCTATATAGAAAGTCAAGAAAACCTGACTTCACATCTAGCTTCTGAAACATACTGAGTTTTGATCATGGGCAAATCATTCAACTCCTCTGAGCCTCAGTGTCCTCATCTATAAAATGGGGATAGTACTATCTGTTGCAGCTCCTTCAGAAACTTACTAATTGTTTAAGTCACTTAACCTCTATCTGGGCAAGTCACTTAACCTATATCTGTCTTAGTTTCCTCTTCTGTAAAACAGTAATAACAATTGCCCTTACTTCCCTGGAGGATATAAGGATAAAATGAAATAATATTTATAAAATGCTTTCCAAATCTTAAAACTATATAAACACAAGCTATCATCAGGATTATTATTATAGCATTAGATAATATGTGGGTGACAAGAATGCGAATCTGACATCTCTTGAAAAATTCCCATTGTTGTTGAGATCCAGTCCTATAATTCTCAGTCTTGTGAAAGGGAATGTAGAATTAACAAAATGTAACTGATTTCATTCAGTAATAAAATAAGGGAAATTTGACCTTCATCAAGAGGGTTGATCAGAATGGCTACTTTTGCATTCAAGTTCTTAGCAATAGGATGGCATTGACCAAAGGCAAAGATTTTAAGTCCCCTTGGTCCTGACTTTTAGAACATTCTATAGAACCAAGCCCTGGGCTCATTAAGCTAACAATTAATTTAACAAATTAAGTTAATTTGTCTTCTGCAGTGGAAAAAAATGGAGTAGCAAATAACTCTTATAGGAAGATAAATAGATAATGTTTCTTTACTGGCCTGACTATATACTCTGTCTCCCATTCTGAACAGCATGCTTGACAGCCCAAATCGTCTTGACGAGGAACACAGGCTGATTGCCAGATATGCAGCGAGACTGGCAGCAGAGACATCCTCATCTGTAAGTTTTCATTAAGGGTCTTTAATGATTCTTAAGGAAGTTCTATCAGAACTGGGCAGCTACTGGACCTTTTCCTTCTGTTTCAGTTAGTGGTTTTTTCATTGTAATTCTTGCTTTCAATACAGAGTTTTATTTGTTACTAGTTTATTGTTGGCTTTTTAAGGTTTTTATGGTATCTTGGTAAAAATTCCCATTCTATATATGACAAAATCATGACTTAATGCTTACTACCTGTTTCAGCCAGTCCATAAGCATTTATTAAGCACTTTATGTTATAAAATGAAAGGGTTAGATTTCAAGATCCTATTTAGCTCTAAATCTGATTCTGTGATAAACTAGCTAACGAACTAGCTAATGTCACTCGGTGACTAGGCTGCAGATTCCAATTAAAGCCAAAAGCTTATCAGTGTCCTTTCATACGCATCCCTTATATGCTATTTGGACCTGACCAAAACAAAAACAAAACACTTGTAGGAAAGACATTGTTTTCTCTCCTTGTAGGTTCAAGTACAATTGGAAAAACTGTAGTAAAGGTTAGACTGGTTCCACATCTCTCCATCTCTCCAACACAAAGAATTCAAATCAATTTGGCACTTTATTCAGAATGCAGATGTCTGAAATGGAGGATAACCATGGACTTTGGCTTGTTGGGAAGTACAGGGCATCTCCATTTTTTTTCATCACTCTCAGTCACCCCAGCTGTCAGAGCCCTAACTGCAGAGCATTCTCACTAATGATCTTGGACAGGAACACTACGATGACCCAAAGCATTAACCCTGGCATTTTCTCACAGTTCGGTGTATTGACCATGGCACTGTCAGATTCCCATGACTAAGGGGAATTATAAGCTAAAAATGTACTTGATTTTTTTCCCCAAAATAAGACTCAGTGGACTAGAGATAGCATTGAAGTGTGTAAAACATCAAATAGCATGAATAAGGTCAATCTCATTATGGTCTTCCAGCTCAGCACATCTCAGAAGAAAAAGGAGCATGAATGAAAATTAAATCAAAAGGAATTCAGCACTGAATGTCAGGAAGACCATTTCTGCTAAATGACTAATGTACAATGGGGTCAACTGGAAGGACAAATTCATACAAGCTCTTTAGCAAAAAAAAAACACCCTTGTCCAGTTAGTTTTCTAGTTCACATCAATCCATGTGTTGGTTTTGCTGTAACTGGCTTTAATCAAAGGGAGGGGGTGGATGAAAGAATTGGTTCACATCCTTCCAACCCTTACTCTCTGACACCCATTGCCAGCCACCAACACCCCAGCACACTCCAGTTCCCTGACTCCTCAGTGAAGATAATTTGTGGTACTTACTTACATCAGAGTCATAGCAGATCATCTGTAGAGAAGATATCATCCCACCCTCTAGCCCTGCTATGAGTCCAGCTGCTTTGTAAATTCCCCAACAACCCTAGTGGCTGAATAGATGAAAAGACTAATAGAGGCAAATTTTGGCTTGATGACAGGAAAAATACTTCCTAACAATTAGAACTGTCTAAAAATGGAATGGTCTTCCTCAAGAAGTAGTGGGTTCCGTTCTCCTTGGAGCAGAGGCTTGGTAACCACTTGGTGTTTATGTTCTACTTGAATTTCCTTTCAGGTAGAGCTTGAAAAAAATGGCAACTGAAGTGCCTTCCAAGTGTCAAATTCTGTTTTTCTGTAAGAGATCATAGATTAAAAAGAAACCTGGCATTAGAAGTTCACTTACTTGGATATATTTTCTTTCCTTTGGAAGGATCAGATTTAAATCTTCCCAGGTTGTGTTTTTACCTTCCTTCTCCATGATTCTTGCCTGTGATAGAGCCTTAAGGAAAGCCCAAAGATTTTGCCTCAGTAAGAACAGAAAATTATAGCCTAAGTATCCAGCAATAAAATTAGTCATTTCAAGGAAGATTTTTGTTAATATAATTCTTTGGCATTATTTCTTTCAAGAATAGGAAGCTCTATCTCATGAGCCAGAGCTAGCCTTTGAATTCATCTTCATCTAGCCCATAAAACAAGAGGAAAATGTGAAACCACTATTTGTTTATAGTTATAAAAATGCAGTAAGGTTTAAAAGTGCAAAGAAATATTATCCTTGATGTTTCACAAGATAGAGATGTTGCCCTTATCTTTCTCTATATGTATTTCTTACTCTGTTACTCTGTTACTCTGTGTGTGTGTTGTGTGTGTGTGTGTGTGTGTGTGTGTCTTTAATCCTTTGTACACATATATGCAAAAGAAAGAAAGAGGGACAAGGGGGTTTAGGAGGGGAAAAAAAGACAGGCATACAGATAGACTGACTTTCTACATCTCTCTAGGTATAGATTGTCTCTGTGTGTGTTATCTCATTGTGGGTCTGTTTTGCTCTGTTTTTATCTCTCTTTGTGCATTTCTCATTCTTTGTGTTTGTAGCCACCTGTTCTGCTTTCTTTGTCTCTCTCTCTCTCTCTTCATTTTCTCTACTTCAGGGGTGGGGAACCTGCAGTCTCGAGGCCACATGTGGCCTTCTAGGTCCTGGGGTGCAGCCTTTTGACTAAGTCCAAGTTTTACAGAACACATCCTTTTATTAAGGGGATTTGTTCTGTGAAGTTTGGATTCAGTTAAAGGGCCACACTTGAGGACCTAGATAGAGTCTACTCTCTCTTCCATTTCTATCTTTTTAACTTGAATCTAACATAAAACTGGAGTATTTTTATACCATTTATCCCCAAATGCTCTGGGCCAGGGATATCAAACTCCAATAGAAATGGATACCACTAATCCATATATAAGGATCCCTTAGGGCCACATATTGGCTTAGGTTTAAAATGTAATATCTATGTTTTATTATATTTTTTATTTGTTTTATTAAACATTTCCCAATGACATTTTAATCTGATTCAGGCCACACCTGGGAGTGTTGTAGGACACAGGGCTACGTGTTTGACACCTCTGCTCGAAGAAGTCTAAGTTATATTTTTGGAGAAGCCCTTCCCAGACCCCTTTAATGTTAACACAGTCCTTCTGAGATAGCCTACAATTTATACTATACATATCTTATTTGTACATAGTTGCTGATATGAGAGTGTGATCTCCTAGAGCAGGAACCATGTTTTTGCCATTTTTTGTGTCTCCAATGTTTAGCAAGGTGCCTGGCACACTGTAGGTGCATAATAAATGCTTGCTGACTTGATGTAACTGGAGTGGCCTTTATATTGGAAGACAGCAACCACATCAAAGTCTTTTTTCCAGGCTGATCTGTCTTGATAGAGGGTATTTCCTTATCTGGAACTCTCTATACCAATAAAATCACAGGCCCCAGCTCCTGTCCCTATGTCTATTTATTTAATAATCTTCTTTTCCTCATTCTTAAATTGCACATATATATTTTAGATATTTACAAGTATGTACCCACATATTTAAATGTATAGATGCTTTATAGTCATCTCCCTTTTTTAAAGAAAAAGTGAATTAAGTTGTTTTTATTTATGGGGTCATCAATTGATAATGGCTTTTCTGCTTCACAGGGCTCTGAGGGTAACCAAAATTCCTCATATCTGATGTAAAGAAAATAGCTGATTGATTATATTTTTCACTTTTCAATTCTTGTTTTCATATGGGATAACTACTCAGTGAGTTTACCAGGGATGACTTAACCAAATTATCCAGCCAACTCATTTCCCTACCTAATACTAGAGATTATAGATCAGAAGATAAGTATTGAAAACCAAGGTTGGCTCAAATGAGGAAAGCTTCTACTCATCACCTACAAATAAAACCTTCACAGGAAGAATACTAGTATATATTCACTGAAGTAAATGATAATGAAAATAATCAAAAATAACATACTAACATTACAATGTAAGATTTAGAAAGTTCTTTCCTCACAATGTTCTTCCCTTTTTTTTTTAACATTTTTGTTTAAAGTTTTGTGCGATTTTTTTGTTTGTTTGTTTGTTTTTGTGGTTAGGCAATGGGGTTAAGTGACTTGCCCAGGGTCACACAGCTAGTAAGTATTATGTGTCTGAGACCACATTTGAACTCAGATCCTCCTGATTGAATCCTGTTTGGTAGGTGGCATAAGTATTATAAACTCACTTTATGGATGACAAAAGTGAGGCTTAAAAAGAGAAAATGACTTGTCCACGGTCACACAGCTACTATTAGAAGTGTCTGTTACTTAAACCCAAGTCTAGCGCTTGAATACAGCTAAATATACCACTACTACTACTACTACTACTACTACTACTACTACTACTACTATAATAATAATAATAATAATAATAATAATAATAATAATAGTTAGCATTTATATTGGACTTTAAGGTTTATAAAGTCTTTGTTACTATTATTTAAGTACTATGTGGTAAGTACTATTATTACCCTCATTTTACAAATGAGGAAACTGAGGCTGGAAGAAGTTGTGACTTGCTTAGAATCATACATGTAGTAAGTGTCTAAGGCAGGATTCTGACTTCTGTTTCTGACTCTAAGTCTGATATTCCATCAACTCTGACATCCAGCTGCCAATTCATATCTACTACTTGACTCCAAGTCCAGTGCTCGCCGAACTATGCCAGCCTTTTTTTGGGGGGAGATGGTACACAAAGAGGTAGGGGGAGGCAATAAATTATATTTAATTCTGTTGATTTATCTTTTTGTTTTCATAAAAAGTTCATCTTTTCCGCACTTTTCAGCATACCTTGACAAATATATTTTATTGAGACTCCTCGGGGAAGAGTCACTGTGATGGACATGGTTTTGTACTCCCCAGTATTAAATATTTTATGTCATCTCTTTCACAGCAGCCTAGTCAGCAGAGGGGTGCTTCTGATATCTCTTTCACCATTGATGCAAATAAGCAACAAAGGCAGCTGATTGCAGAACTTGAAAACAAGAACAGGTAAGAGCTTTTAAGCCAGATCGGCAGTTTGTTCATAGTGTATCATCATTCATTTGCATTGTACTTTATTTAAAACCTTTACCTGTCTTCTCCTGTGAGTTATCACTTTAAGGGAAGAGGAAATGTTCCTCGTTGTCAATGAAGATTGTTTGCTGAATTGTGAAAAGCTAGTCTTAGGAAGTTATGGGATGAAGTTTTGCTTTTATATGAATTTTCCAAACATTTTATTATTAATATTTAATGAATATTTTTAGTGACTAGTCAAATCATAATCTTTAGTCACTCAGTTTTGCCCTGTTCTCTCAATCCATCAAATTTTTCCTGGCCTGAGTCCTAACTTTCTTTCCAACCTAGTTTCAACTCAGTGCCATTTCTGTTTTGTTTAGTTGTTTGGTTTTTGTTTTTTTTTTTTAATGAAAAAATAAAACCAGCACTATCGTCTCTCTCTCCCACTTCCTTTTGCCCATTAAAAAAAAGAAAAGAAATACAAAACCCTTATTTACAAATTTGTATGATCAAAGAAAAGGCAGCTAAGTGGCTCGGTGGATAGAGTGCTGGGCCTGAAGTATCTTCCTGAGTTCAAATCTGGCCTCAGACACTTATTAGCTTTGTGACCTTGGGCAAGTCACTTAACCTTCCTAGGTTACAATTTCTTTAACTATAAAATGAAAGAGTTGTACTAGATGAGTTCTTGTCTCTTCCAATTTTAGATCAATGATCCTATAATATAATTGATATCATATTGCTTGCCTTCTCAATGAGGGAAGGGCTAGAGAAAGAGAGAATTCAGAACTCAAAATTTTTAAAAATAAATGTTAAAAATAAATAATTGTTAGAATAAATAATCTTATAATTGCTTTTTGTCATTTTTCCGTTCTTAAATGTGAGGATTTATAAAGGTGATTGGCCCTTTTCTCTTTTCTTTCTATATTCTCTCCCTTGATTTTATCCTTTCCCAAAGTTCCACAACAGAACTCTATCAACAACATTGTAGGCACTCACTAAGAGACTGATTGATTGGTTGATTAAACTTGGCTAACTTTTATGTCATATCTTAGCAATAGCTTTCTTGGTGAAGTCACCACAGACTGAATCAGAGAGAAAGGAGTTCAGTATTCAATTTCTGGAACTGAAAGATAAGAAGGCCACCATGTAGTGTTAATATCCTGATGAAAATCATTATCACCAGTAGTTTGACAGTTTTACATTCATTTGGTTAATTTCATAGAGATGGTAATGCAAACTATTAGAAATGCTTAAATTGTATTTGATATACTATTTGATTCATATTCTCTGTAAATATTTCTAAACTATTGAGTGTTACCAGCTTCATCTAAGATCTTTAGCCATACCCTGTTCCTTCCATATTTTATCTTAATGTTATTTTTTTTAATAATTTTTCTCCTTAATTCCTTCAGTGTGTTTACTATCCATTTTGTTGTGACTTGAATAAATGTTAGTATTACCTCTGGTTCTGTTCATGATGTGTTACAAGTATTTTTTCCTTCTGGTATTTTGGCTTTAGCTCATTTTTTAGTCCATTGTTATATGAACAGAAACACACACACACACACACACACACACACACAGAGTTTTCTTTTCAGATTTTTTAATAGTTTTATTTCTTTGGGTCATTTCTATTTTTGAAAGCGATAATAAACATTTGCTATTTCTTGTAACCTCTCACTTTTGTTTTACTGCAAGTGATGAAAGTTTCATGTTATAGGAGATCTATTTTGACCTCAATTTTAAGAGTTTATAAAATATCAAAATCCAGGCCTTACTCAATTCTTTAGCAATGATTTTTAATACTACACATATAAGTTATTGTAACTCATTTAATGTTTTGCTAGAACAGTACTAAAATCCCTTAGCTGAATGGACCTCATGTTTTTGCTATTGCATCAAAGCAAAAGTACACTCACACACACTTTGGTTCTCTTACTCATTTGTCTTGGCCTAAAGTGAGACTGGTGAGGGTTTCTGAAGATCTCTTCTTGCCTACAGGTTTTGAATTACAAATTTTGAGTAGATAATAGGATCATGGGATAATAAATTTAAAGCTGGAAGAGACCTTGGAGGCCTTCTGGTCTAATTCTCTCATTTTACAGATAAGTAATGTGAGCCCCAGAAAAGTGACTTTCCTGAGGTTACAAAAGTACTATGAATCAAAACCAGGAATTCAATCTGGGTCCAAATTAAAATCTCTGCATATTTCTCATAATCAGTCAGTCAACAAGCATTTATTAAGTGCCCACTATGTTTCAGGCACTGTGCTAAGCTAAACAAATTTAACTATTTTAATGATTTTTTAGAAAACATTTTCCTGAAAGAATGCATTTCATTCCTTAGATATAGAATCTCATCATTAAATATTCTTTGGTGAGTGTGGGGTTAGCTTCATAATGTGAGAATATGACTGTATTACCACAGGAATTTTTCTTGCTTCTGGAGAGATGTAGCCACATCAAAAAGGGAATATAAGAGCAATTTAGTTATACATGGTAACCCTCAATTTACATAGCATTGGGGACAAGAATTTTACAAGGGAGAAGAAGGGCTGTGAGGAATTTAGTAGTAAATAGCTGACCAAATACAATTTTCCTATTTTTTGTTGATGGCACCACAATCATCTCAGTCACTCACCTCAAACCTCAAACTCATCTTTTCCTTCTCACTCACTCCTCCCAACAGCCAGTCATTTGCCAAGGTGTCTTCATTTTCTATCCAAAAGTTTATCTCCTGTATGTCCCCCTTCTTCAATAATAACTGATTTTTATATAGCCCTTTAAAGTTTGAAAAATGCTTGACAATACATGAACTCATTCAGGCTTCAAAACAATACCATGAGATAGGGATTTACAGAATTCGAGAAGTGGAAGGGCTTTCAGTAGCTATCTGATCCATCCCATACATGAAAGGAATCCTCACTTAATATACCTGATAAGGCAGAAACTACTTGAAGATCTCCAACAAGGGGAACCCACCACCTCTTGAGATAGACCATTCTACTTTGGTTTTTTTTCCCCATGATTCAATTTTATTTTATTTTCAGTTCCAAATTCACCTCTTCTCTCACCCATTAAGAAGGCAAGGAATAAAAAGTCCATTACAAATATGAATGTGGAAAACAAATTTCTACATTAGCCCTGTTCTGAAAAAAAAAAAAAAGAGAAAAAATATGCTTCAATCTGTATACAGAGTCCATCAATTCTCTATCTGGATGTAGATAACATTTTTCACTATGGGTCCTTTGGAATTGTGTTGGGTCATTGTGTTTATCAATTATTAAGTCTTTAACAGTTGATTGTAATTATGATATTGATGTTACTGACTAAATTGTTCCCCTGGTTGCGCTCACTTCACATCAGCTCATATAAGTCTTCCCAGGTTTCTCTGAAACCATCCCCTTCATCATTTCTTTTTTTTTTTGGGGGGGGGGAGGCAACTGGGGTTAAGTGACTTGCCCAGGGTCACACAGCTAGTAAGTGCTATGTGTCTGAGGCCGGATTTGAACTCAGGTCCTCCTGACTCTAGGGCCAGTACTCTACCCACTAAGCCACCTAGCTGTCTCTTCCTTCATCATTTCTTACAGCACAATAGTATTCCATCACAATCATTTATCATTTAGCCATTCCCTAGTTGATGAGCATCTCCTCAATTTCCAATTCTTTGCATCACAAAAAGCTGCCATAAATATTTTTGTACATGTGGATCTTTCTCCTCATTCTTTGATCTCTTTGGGCTGTAGTAATAGAATTGCTGGATCAAATGGTATGCCCAGTCCAATAGCTTTTTACCTCATTCCACTTTAAGACAAGGCAGCTAGGTTACTAAGTGGATAGAGTGTAAGGCTCACCTTCCTGAGTTCAGATCTGGCCTCAGACACTTACTAGCTGCATGACCTGAGGCAAGTCACTTAACCCTGTTTGCCTCAGTTTCCTCATCTGTAAAATGATCTGGAGGAGGAAATGGCAAGCCAATAATTCTGCCAAGAAAACCCCAAACGAGGTCATGAAGAGTTGGACAGCTGAAAAATGACTGAACAACAACAATAACACAACCGTAAGACAGTTTTTATTGTGAGGAAGTTTTTCCTGACATCAAGTCTAAATTGGCCTCTTCTTAACTTGTACCTATTGCTCCTGGTTTTGCTCTCTGGGGTCCAATCAAATGAGTCTCATCCACATGAGAGCCTCACACATCCTTTAAAACAGCTATGATATTCCAACTGAGCCTTCTCTTCTACAAGTTCAATATCCTCAGCATGGACTGCAGTTGATTTTTTTTTTGTCACTAAATACAAGACTTTACATTTATCTGTAATAAATTTGATTTTATTAGATTTAGCTCAGTGCTCTAGCCTGTCAAGATTATATTGAATCTTGACTTCGTCATCCAGTATCTTCATTAGCCCTCCTGGCTTTGTCTTATATGCGGATGTGATGAGCCTGCCATCCATGCAAACATTATCCAAGTCATTGTTACAAATATTCAACAGTGCATGGCCAAGCATAGATCTTTGGGGTTCTCTGCTGGAGTCTTCCTGCCATATAAAGTATGGCCAAGGCACGGCAGGAAATGAGGTTACTCTATCATTACCTGTTCTCAGTGAATCATGTTGGCTTTTTTTTATCACCACTTCTCATTCTGGTTGTTCATCAGCTATCTCTTTAATGATCAGTTCTAGACTTTTTCCAGGAATCAGAGTCAAGTTCATTGGCCTATAGTTGGCATATGCCAAAAAAAAAAAAAGGGACAGTATTTGTCCTTCCTCTTGTGACCTCTTTTCTATTTTCCATGATCTTTTTAATCTTACTTACAGTGGCTCAGCAATTACCTTTGCCCGCTCTTTCAGGACCTGAGGACATTGTGCATTGGCCCAGATGACATGTTTAATTCTAAAGATAATTAAATCAGAGTCCAGCAAGGTTAAGTGAGTCTTCCATGTTCACAAAGCTAGTAAATGTGAGAGGTGGGATTTGAACCCAAGTACAGCATTCTATTCACTGTGCTTTGTTGGTTCAGGCTCTCATCACCTCTCTCCTATACTGTTGTGTAAATATGCTGCATAATTTCTCTTTTTCCTCAGGAGTCTGTCTTTCACAAAGCTGCCAATCAACAATCACTTAATCCACAAGCATTTTTTAAGCATTTACTACTAAAAACAGTAGAGCAATTATGTAGAAAGGTGGATACTGAATTGTGGTGAGAGTAGATAGGTCCTAGAGTCAGGAGGACCCGAGTTCAAATTCAGTATCAGACACTTACTGTGTGACCCTGGGTAAGACCTGTTTGCCTCAATTTCCTCAATTTAAAAAATGGGGGTTTTAATAGCACCTACCTCCCCCAGAGTTGTTGTAAGGATCAAATGAAGTGTTTGTAAAGTGCTTAGCATAGGGGCAGCTAGGTAGCACAGTGGATAGAGAGGCAGGCCTATAGTCAGGAAGACCTGAGTTCAGATCCTGCATCAGACACCTACTAACTGTGTGTCCCTGGGCAAGTCACTTAACCATGTTTACCTCAGTTTCCTCATCTGTAAAATGAACTGGAGGAGGAAATAGCAAACTACTCCAGTATCTGCCAAGAAAACTCCAAATAGGGTCACAAAGAGTCAGACGTGACTGAAAATGACTAAACAAAAATACACTGTCTCCACATCTCCTCCTGTTCAAATCTCTCTTACTGGATCAAATTTTCCATGCCTAGAGTGCCCCACTAAGCTGACAAAATTACTGATTCTTTAATATTCTAATATAAAATAGTGTTAAAAATTGGGGGGGAGGATCTTTCTCTTCCTCCACAGGTACCACCATTTTTTTCCATAAATCCTTCTCTCATACCTCCAGCAGAAAGTCCTCTCTCTTTCCTATCCCATGTTGTCTACATTTCTCCCTTTCTTTATCACAGTGCTGTGTACATAGCTTATCCCCTTAGATTTTAGATCATAAGCTTCACAGGGGCATATTTGCAGGCACTACACTAGGTCCGAGAGGGCACAAAGACAAATATTTCTGACCCTCAAAGAATTTACATCCTACTGGGGAGAATAACATATATGCATCATTTCTGCCCCCTACCATTCTATAAGTTTTTCTGTGAGGTTTTTAATGTAAATATTTTTCTGTTTTTCCCTCTTATTATTATTCTTACTGTATTTGGCACCACTGCTGACAGTTTGAAGGGATAAGGGGAAACTGGGCTTGGTCATGACTGCCCACTCACCCATCCAGGGGTTGGACATAACTCTCTGGGTAGACAATAAGGTGGAGGGCTTTTGAAATAAGTAGGTAGTGTGCCTCAACTCACATCTTTGTGACTATGTGTAGCATGTATGCCTAAGGACGGTTTTGTTAAAGCTTACATTGAAACTTAAGTCCCCACTGTTTCTCTCCTTAGGGTCTAAGGCTTTATGGGATGATCCTTAGTTATATAATTATAGCTGTGGAGTCCTAGGAGCATGGGATGGTAGGAAGAGAATGAGACTTGGTGACTAGAGAACTGGATTTGAATCTGAAAATGTTTATGACCATGGGCAAGTAACCTGATCTCTCCAAACTTCAGTGACCTCATCTGTAAAATGTGAATAACAATAACACATGGGCTACCTACTTCACAAGGATGTTCTGGGGAAAGTACATTGTAGGTCAAAAAGCATCCGACAATTTTGACTCTTACCAGTAAAGTTCCATAGGTGGAAAAGAACTGGGAGATCTAACCCCTTTATTTCACAGAATAGGAAACAGGCACAGAGAGTGGAGGTCGCTTAGTGAAAATGAATCTTCTAATTATACTGTATATTCTAGAGGCAGCCTTTCCAACTGACTTACACTTAACTGGTTCTTGCAATTCATCTTTATTCATTGTGATTTGTTTCCTCTGAGTGACTTTATCTTCTTCATTTGACCAGATGGGGAGTTGACCAAGAGCAGGTGCCTTTCCTAGAGGATGTGATATCTTGTGACCCCATTTAATGGCTCTTGACAGGCTGTGGGAACCATTTGCTTTCCCCAGTTCATGTCTCCTTTATGGTCTGTCTAATGTCCACCTAAATGTAATAATAGCCAGGCACCAACGTCAATAATGGGCTGTGTTGCCTCAGCCCCTGACAAAGGTCACACCAATAGCACTTTTGTGTCATCCATCGATTCAATTTTAGCTCATTCTTTTAAAACCACTTTCCTGAAAAAGGCTGCCCCATTCAGCTCCATTGTTAGGCTGAAAATCTGTAGAATAAAAAATGGGACTTGGCCTAATTGAAGATTTAAAGGACCTCTGATCTTTTGGCTCGCAGATAAATTCAGGGCAAAGAATTTCATTTGGGGTTAGAGTAAGAGGTTATCTAATTCTGCAAAATGCACAACATTTATCTTTATTTTCCCTCAAAGAACCTCTTCGGTTTGGATCTTTGTTCATGCTGCCTGGTTCCCAAGTGTGGTGCTAAGTAACCAAGAGACACATTTTTGTCTCTTAGGAAAAATATCTCTTCAGCAATCCACTTTTTAAAACTAAGCCCAGCACCTTAGTCTAAGACCTTCCTTGCTCAAGCATTTAAGCCCTAATAGTAGCAACAGGCCTAGTGATTTATAATACCCAAAACAGAATATCATGAAGATTTAGACATATTTCAAATAGAGTTATATCTATCTCCTCATTTCTCCAGAAACACGTCAACTACATGTAGCAAAAAGTCTGATATAACATGATTAATATGTGAAGGAAGAAGGCTGTGGTCCCAAGTTTCAATGTTCAGAATGAGAATGAGGGAAAGAAAAGATAAGCAATCTCCAAGGGCACAACCTACATGGGAAGACAAGGAAGTACACTTAAGATTCTATATTTTTTCTCATCCATGCACGTATTCTAAATGCCAGAGGACTCCATTCTTCATATCAAGTAGGTATTTATGTTAGGTCAAGTCAAATTACAGTGTGTGTGTTATGACATCAGTATCACAGATGTGGACAGATTTTCAAAAGGGAGGAAAAAACAGTTTTCAGACTTTGCCTAGGGTGTGCCTTGGCCTGTCCCAGACAACACTTTCAGTATATAAGCCTTCCTTTCTTCTGTTAGTTTGACTTGTCCTGACCTTAGCTGTCAAAGAAAGCTAACCCATGGTTTCTGACTTTATCTTTCTCTCCTAAGAGAAATCTTACAGGAGATCCAGAGGCTACGGCTGGAGCATGAACAGGCTTCTCAGCCCACCCCAGAGAAGGCCCAGCAGAATCCTACTCTCCTGGCAGAACTCCGTCTTCTCAGGTAAATGGGGCACTTCACCAATGTGAGGGAAAATGTTTTCCTGGTTTCTTTAATTGAGGTAGGTACCCTATGTACCTACAGAGTGAAAATAAATTAGTCTTAGCTCACAACTGGCTACTCCAGTGTATTTGTTTTATTGTTTTAATTTACTCTGTCATTAGAAGCCTCACACACCTGGGTTGCGAAATTGTTTTTCATATTCTTTCACTTATGGGTAACATTAAGAAAATGAAAAAGGATGTTCCTTCTATGCTCCCCTACTAAAAAATATCTAATTCTCTAGTTGTTCCCCCAGCTGGGCTACTACATTTTCTTTCATTCATAGTTTTTGTAGTGCAAAATAGGATTATGAAACCAAAAATTATTTCCCGAAAAAAATATATTCATGAAATGGTATTGACCATCCCCCACCCCTACAAGAGTAGGGAGGTGACCAGCCTGTGTTGGATATAATCTGATGATTAATAAGTGAGAAAATACAAGTAAATCTACAAAAATAGAGGTTACTCCAAACACAATGCCCCAATCCAGAAACTGTTGCTAAGTCCATTCAAAGAACAAAACCAGAAATTTAGGAGATGTCATATAGGGAGTGGGAAGGAAAGTTGCATAGTATTTAGCTAGAAAATGTGTCCTGAATTTGGGATCAACAGACATCATAAAGAGCAGAGTTAAAAAACAACAACAACAACAACATAGACGAAACATTATGTCATTCCCTGCCTCAAGAAGCTTCCATGGCTCCCTGTTACCTCTAGAATTAAATTCAAATTCCTCTGTTTGGCATTTAAAGGTTTTCATAATCTGCTTCCAGCCTCTTTCTATGTTGTTTACCCACTCTTCTTTCCATGTCTTCTAAGTTTGGCCAGACTGGCCTACTTATTTCCATTTTCCCCTTTCCCCCCCAACCCCATTCCTTTATCAGGCTATCCCCCGCGTGCCTGAAATGTTCTCTCTTCTCGCCTTTGCCACTTGGAAGCCTTAGCCCCCTTCAATTCAGTGCAAATACTAACCCCCTGCTTTAAAAGGCCCCGGTTGTCAATGTCTCATCTCAAGTAATTTTGTATTTATGTAAACATCCTGGGCCTACATGTCTGTGAACATTTTGCAGTCTGCACCTTCACCTCCACCAGTAGAACATAAGTCCCTTCAGCACAGGAAGAACTTTATTTTTTTATTTGTACCACCAGTACCTAACAGGGTACCTGGAACATAGTAAATGCTTAATAAATGCTTCCTCACTATCTGATCGATTAAGGTGCTTCCACCGTGGCCCTTAACCTTCACACAGAACATCAACCCAAAGAATCCTCATTATATGGCAAGAGGTTGATAGACACACTCTCCCTCTCTCTTCCCCCTCCATACACACATGGTACATCTATGAACTCTAACAATTGTAGTTCACTGGCAAAAAACATTTTTAAATCTCAAAATGTACATGTGACCCCAAAGCCTTTGCTTTATTAGTATAAAACACAATGTTCTAGTATTTGTAATTCTGTCCCTAGCCTCTTCCCGTTTCCCACTCCAGATAGTAGGAACTCTCCCTTTAAGCCCTTACTCTTGAGAAGGAAAGCAATGAGTTTATCACAGTAATTGAAGATGAGAGCCCTATTTCTATTTCTCTTGAGAGAAATGAGGTCAGAAATCCCAATGCTGATGAATTCAATTCAACATGCATATATTAAGTGCCTACTGTTTACAGTGCAGTACACTATAGGAGGTAGCATGGCTGTAGTAGATAGAAAGCTGGCCTGGGAGTGAGGAAGATCCTGGTTCACGTCCTAGTCTGACCCATGCTGGCTGTGTGGCCCTGGCCAAGTCACTTAACCTCTCAGTGGCCCAGTCATATCCCAGGAATTATAAATTTTAGAGCAGGTGCCAAACTACATTAGTAGGAGGAGTTTTCTATACTGATAAAATCAACAGTTTCGATTTTCCCCCAGCTCTGTCCTCCAGAATTTGCAGTATACTCTGCCAAGCACTGGGAATACAGAGAAGAAAAAGTACATAGTCCCTGTCCTGAAGAAGCTTAAATAACGGAAAGACATGTAGGAAGTAACCAGCTAGGTGGCACAATGAATAGAACATTGAGCCTGGAGTCAGGAAGAACTGAGTTCAAATTTGCCCTTGGAAACTTACTAGCTACATGACCCTGAGTAAGTCACGTTACCGCTGTCTGCCTCAGTCTCCTCATCTGTAAAATGGGAAGAATAATAGCACCTACCTCCAAGGGTTGTTGTGAGGAGAAAATGCAAATATTTGCAAAGCCCTTTACAAACCTTGAAATTCTCTATAAGTGCTAGCTATTATTACATAAAAATAGGTCAAACAGGGTAGCCTGAGGTATTCAGGGAAAACATTCAAGGAAAGTAGCATCATTTATGTTGAGGGAAGGGGAGAAATCATGGACTAAAGGGCACTGTATTCTCCAAGGCTGTGCTTGGTTGGGGCAAGTACTCATCCCACCAAGCTAGAGAGACTTTGACTCTGGAGCCAGCAATAGACTGTGGTACAAGGACCAGTCAGCTAAGTTAATAGTCATTCCTCACCAGAAAGTGGGTGAGGTGATAATTTTCTGATTTTTGGCCTAAGAAAGTCATTAAAACCTTAACTAAAGCAGAGAAAGGTTTTGAGCTGTATCCATAAGCATAGTGCCTACAAGAATGAAATCACAGATCATTTGAAGTATTGAAGAAAGAATAAAAGGTATTTATTGAAGTCACCATTACACCCACATTTCAAATGGTATGAGTATGATTAACAGGAATTAAAATTCTGAGCCTCTTCAGTTTGTGCAAAAAGATGCCCCTTCAGAGTTCACCTCATTTAGATTTACAGGCTTCTCTCAGACCTTTGCAGAAATCGCAGAGCAATCCTATCTTTCACTGGTCATTTAAAGGACACTGGTCAGGTTCTAAAAGCCCTCTTCCTAACTTATAAACCCTCCATTTGTGAGATTAATACCAATCATCTGTCTCTCAATTGGTTCCTGCCAATGTTTGACATGATTGCATTTCTATAATCTACATCTGATTGCTTACCAGGATGGAATTTGGAACTCAAAACTTTATAATAAAAAAAGTTTAAAAATTGTTTTAACATGTAATTGGGGGGAAAATACATTAAATTTAAAAAAATTAATTGGTTCCTGCTCCCTCCTAATTTTTTTATACCTTAAATATTGCTGCATTAAGAGCACACATTGAATAACTATGCCCTAAATTCCCAGCTTTGAGACCAAGGGCCTCTCCTTAGTGTACTCAAGCTAGTGAAATGCAATCTGTCATCAATCAACCTTTATTAAATGCTTACTATGTGCCCAAGAACTGTTCTAAACACCAGGGGTACAAATATGAAAAAGAAAAACAATCCTGTCCTCGAAGAACTTATAATCTAATGGGGAAACAACATACAAAAAGGAATATGAAAAGAGGGTAGTGGGATGGTACCTGGCATTTGCAATTCTCAGGGACATGATAGGCAAATCTGAAGGAGTGCAGCTGAGCGAGAAATGAAGAGATGGCTGGCCTGAGTGCACTCCTTAAATGGAGGTTTGAGGAAAAGTTCATCACCCCACCCTCCACACAATTGCAGCAAAGACCCAGCCTGTAGGAATCAGATCTGAACAACTGAATCTTGGAATCGGTGCCTGATTCTCAGAAATTTCTGAATGCTGTCTAGGAGATTTCTGTTCCAGATTATGTCTAGAAAATTCATACATGTTTTTCTATTACCTCCCCTAGATGAGATTAATATGGTCAGATAAAATGTCAATAACATCTTATTATGAAAATAATTTATTAAATGCCTACATATGTCAGTGTCTTTGCAACAAGCACAAATGTCCTTAGTCTCTGGGTTTATGAGCTAAGATAGATGATACTGACATAATCAGGGACATAAATCAATAAATCAATTTTGACAATCAAGTTGCGATTGATATATATGTCTTGATGACCCTGCAAAGGTGATAGTAAATAGATAGTGGATAGAAGGTTGGCCTTGGTTTCTAGTTCTGCCTCTGACATATACTAGGTTTATGACATGGGTAAGCTTAACCAAGCAGTGCCCAAGACAAGTTTTACAAAACATGAATTACAGATGAGTTACTGACTTCTTTTAGTGGAAGCAATTTCTACACTGTATAATTCCTATACCAATGGTTCTCAAACTTTTTAGTCTCAGAACCCCTTTTATACTCTTAAAAATCATTGTGGACACCAAAGAGCTTTTGTTTATATGGGTTATATCTATTGATATTAACCATATTAGAAATTAAAACATCTTAGTGTTATTATGAAGATAGTTTTGATCTCAAGGCCTTCTGAAATAGTCTCTAGGAAAAACCCTTTGAGAACTTCTGCCTTCTCTATGAATTCATAAGTCTATAAGATTTTTAAGGTTCTTGGGAATTTATTATAAGTATTTTCAGGTATTAAAGCATCTGCCTTAGAAGATTTTCAGTATAATTCAAATCACCAAAATTTACGAAGTGCTTAGGGTGTAAAGAGTCTTATGCTGAGCCCTAGAAGAGATCTAGATTTTAGGTAAGACACAGTCCTTCCCTTCAGAAGTGGCAAGTAGACATGTAAATATAATTTTAAAAAATAATGCAAGATAAGTACAACCTAAGAAGTTCTCTGAAGGTCCTTCATTTGATAATATCGTTGGCCACCTAAAGCCTCTTCTTTTCTTTATTTCATGACATTAGACTAGATATACAAGTCTGCTTCCTGACACTCTGTGAGCATGAAGCATTTTGAAACATTTACATCAGCTTGAAGTGAAAAGATACCCTTGATTTTATTGTTGTCATTGTGTGAGACTCCTAAATTTTTAGGACTTGTCATTAACTCAGTGGCTCAAGGCAACTCTGACATTAGGAGAGCTAAATAATTTACAACCGAGCTGTAGGAAAGCACAGTCCACCTTCATAGCATCCACCAAGAACATTTGGAGAACTTTCTGCCTGCAAGAATAAATTATGTCTTTACCTTGGTTTGTCTTATGAACAAGGACTAATGTGAGATGCTGTAAGTGATACCTACCGCACAAGCTGTCAATGTTAGAGCTAGAAATTTAGAAAGACAGAAGACGCCCAAACTTGACCTCTCTCTGATAGAACAGGTAGGCTATTGCTCAGACTATTACAATAGCCTGCTGGTAAGTCTCCCTGCCTCAAATCTCTCCCTATTCCATTCCTCCTCCACTCAGCTGTCAAAGTGATCTTCCTAAAGCACAAGTCTGACCGTGTCAGTGAGATCTAAGAGCTCCCTATCACCTCTAGTATCAAAAAAGGAAGCAGCTAAATGGTGCAATGGGTAGTGTTGGACCTAGAATCCCAAACTCCTCATCTTCTGGAGTTCAAATCCCATCTCAGACACTTACAAGCTATGCGACACTGGGCAATTCATTTTCACCTCTGTCGGCCTCAGTTTCCTCAGATAATAATAAACCTCCCAGGGTTGTTGTAGGAATCAAATGAGGTAATATTTGTAAAGCACTCTGCACAGTACCTGACTCATAGTGTTGTTGTTTCAGTCGAGTCTAACTCTTTGTGACCTCATTTGAGGTTTTCTTGGCAAAAATACTGGATTTGTTTGCCAGTTGGATTAAATGATTTGCCCAGATTCACACGGCTAGCAAGTGCCTGAGGGCAGATTTGAACTCCAGAAGATGAGTCTTTTCCAGGCCTGGCACTCTATGAACTATGGTGCTACCTAGCTGCATCACATCTTTACCAGATGGGCCACAAAGTAGTAGTGGAAGCAGCAGCAACAACAAAACTAAAACTCCCTGTGGATGTTTCGGAATCCCCCTATTCCCTACTTTACTTTGCCTGCAGAAACAGTGTAATGGATGATTCCTCCTCTACCAAGATCCAGTCGTTGATTGTTTTCCATTTGAATTTTATGGTAAATTAAGTCCTAAATATCTGAAGAATTGGACACCAAAGACTCTTAATTGTTTCTTGCTCACTGCCATCCCTGATACAACAGTACTAACCATAATAAAATATTAGTAATAGCGAAGTCAGTAATGGTAGGAGGCAAACTAGATTGGGAGCTCCTCCCTTAGACTGTGAGTTCTACAAGGGCAGGGAATGTCTCTGGCCTCTTTTTGAATCCCCAGTGCTCAGCACAGTACCTGGCACATAGTAGGTGCTTAATAAATATTTATTGATTAACTAAATGAGCATTCTCTCCTTCCTCTCAGAATAGAAATCTTAAGTATATCTATCGCTGCTTCATCATTCTGGTCAATTGCCATACTTGCCTGTGCCGTATTATCCCAAACTGATAAATTGAAAAACACATGCTATAGACAGAGGGCAGCTAGGTGACACAGTGGATAGAGCGCCAGGCCTGGAGGCAGAAAGACTCATCTTCCTGAGTTCAAATCTGACCTCTTGATACTTACTAGCTGTGTGACCCTGGGCAAGTCATTTAACTTTGCCTCAGTTTCCTCATCTGTGAAATGAGCTAGAGAAGGAAATGGCAACCCACTCCAGTATCTTTGCCAAGAAAACCCCAAATGGGGTCATGAAGTGTCAGAAACCACTAAACAACAGCATGCTATATACATTTCTTTGTGCTAGATGGTAAAGAAGTATTAAGATAAAAGAGGCCAGTACTCCTTATTACCCACCCGCTAAGTTAGTGTCTTAAGCTAGTGACCATTTGCAAATATATATCTTTTCATTATCTGCTCTATTTGTAACAATCTCCAAGTAATTCCTGTAGTAAGAGACTTAATGTAGTGTCTTACCTTGAGTGGATTCCAGGCCAGGTAAATAGCCAGATGGTTTTGAATGTGTTCCAAGAGAGGTAATCTCAATTTGTCCTCCTTACAAAACATAAATAAATAAAAATTTATGTTTTTTCTTTAAGACTGATGTGATAAATGTTACTGAATGTGTATTTGTATTGCTTATATGGGCTGATTTGGACTAGATGTTCAAATTTAGGTTCAAATTCCTACTCTGCTATTTCCTCCCACATGGCCTTGAAGAACTTTTGGCTCCTCTTAGCATCTTTGCAAAGTTCCCTCCTTTGCTTAAAAAATAACATATATGGGGTTGAAGTAAATGATTACTTCAGATCTCAATCCTATGCTCCTATAAAAAGGAGGAAATTTAGTGAAAAGTCTAGATTATTAAATATTCTTAAAGAAATCCAGTTTAGGGGCAGCTAGGTGGCACAGTGGATAGAGTACTGGCCCTGGATTCAGGAGGACCTGAGTTCAAATCCAGCCTCAGACACATAACACTTACTAGCTGTGTGACCCTGGGCAAGTCACTTAACCCCACTGCCTAACTAAAAAAAAAAAAATCCAGTTTAGACTATGAGCTCTTTGAAGGGAATGATTGTTTATTTGCTTTTGCCTTGCATTATATTCCCCTGTGCTTAGCACAGTGCCTGTCACATAGTAGGCTAGCACCTAAAATGGAAAGCCAAGTAAGTATCTGCTAGCATAAAAATGAAATCACTGAAAGGTGACCTACTATGTACGATAAATTTGAAGAAACATACTTTTATGACATTACCATATCTATTTCTTGGAAGAAAACAATACTTCCAGACATTATTCTATGCAATAAAAAACTTTTATTTGTAAATATGCAAAATTATATAGTAAAAAAGCATAACAACATAAAATATATTTTAACCATTTTAGAATGAAATTGCAACTTGTAGGTAGGAGCACCTATAGATTAGATTGAATCAAGTCATCGTAAAATATTTGGAAAAGTGTGTTCTGTGATTGAAGTTCTGCAATTATAGGCTGAGCTTTAACAGAGGAGAAGAAAAGGTCTTTGGAAAATGATAAATCAATGCTTTTTCATAATTCTTCAGCTAGCTTTTAAAAGCCTCTCTGGAGATTGCTTCAGTAACCTTAGCATGGTTCAGTTTCACTGCCTCTGCCTTCCTCTTGATGCTCAAAAGGCTAACAAAATGTTGAGCATCATAAATTAAAAACTGCTGGAAATAAAACAGATATCATTATGCTCCTCTTGTACAAAGCCCTGGAACATTCTGTGCAGTTTGGGATACTGCACCTTTAGGAAGATAGTATGAGCTCGCAAAGGTCTGGAAAAGGGCAGATAAATTATTGTTAAATTCTTCAGCCGAGCAAGGCAAAGGCTGTGAGGAAATATGATTAACATCTATAAAACATCCAGGCTGGGGTTTAATTTTGGCTTATTTATCAAATTCTAGAATATTAAAATTAATGGCATCCCCTGAAGCAAAAGAGGTCATTTTAGGAGAGTGAAATAAATAATAGCTCACATTTACAAAATGCCTTCCTTACAGCCACCCTAGAGATAGGTAGTATAAACATTGTTATCCCCATTTCACAGATTAGAAAATAGACACTGAGGCAAGTAACTTGCTCAAGGTCAAATAGCTAGGGACTCTAGCTAGGACTTAAACACACAGTTGATCACGTCCTATCCAAGTCACTAAGCACATGAAAAGTACTGTGCTAGGCGTATGACCACTTCTATTCTGGGGCTCATTATTCTGGAACACCTCCACTAGGGACTGAGAGGAGGTGTTCATCAAGGAAGTAGTAAAGGCTTGACCTGTCTGGTACATGCCACTTTTTGTCTGCTGAGATAACTTCCCTGTGTTAAAACCCGTCTTCCAATGTAGATCTTACACGTACATGCATGATGTATAGGATTAGGATGTGATAGCAGCAAAAGAATGGTCCAGAAGAAATGCTCTAGGGAAATCTGAGAACAGAGAGATCACTTTTTTTTCCCCCAGGTGGATTCAGAATAGCTAACATTTTATATAGAGCTTACTATGCTAGCGTTCCACGCATTATGCTAAGTACTTTACAGTTCTGTCATTTGAGCCTCACAACAACCCTGAAAAGTGAGTGCTATCATTATCTTCATTTTACAGATAAGGAAACTGAGGCAAACAAGGGTTAAGTGACTTGCCCAGGATCACACAGCTAAGTGTCTGAGCTCAGATTTAAACTCAGTTCCTCCTGACTCCAGGCCCAATGCTCTGTTGCACCAAGAGAAATTTCCATGAAAGAAGTGCTACCTCTAATGGACCTTGAAGGAAAAGAAGCATTTCAAGAGGAACAAATGAGAAGAAAGATCATTCCAGGATGGGGAACATCCTGGGCAAATGGAAATAGTATGAAATAAGGCTATAAAGTCGAGTTACAGCCATATTGCATTAGATGCCAATGAAAAAAATTTGTAGAGGCAGTAGGAAGCCATTGAAAATTTCTGAGCAAGGAAATTACACGAAATAACATACAAATATATACGTATAATATATATACAAATATAATATACAATTGTATACATGAGCACACAAATGTATGAATCCTCTATATGTTTTTAAGTTGTATTTTCATATTTTGGGGTCATCATTCAGATTCTTTGGGGGGAAATTTTATGTAACATGCATGCAGTAATGGTAAGGAGGAATTTGAATTTTCTGAATGAATGTAAAAGAGTTCCACACAAAGGTATTGTAATTCTGTTCCATTATTGTTTTTCTCCTCCACTCTTGAATATATGTTGCTACCTCTTATTGTCACTATGAATGACACAGTAATACAACCCTGAAACAGGTTTTCAGTTTCACCTCAGTTCTCAAAGGATACTTGGAGTTCAAGGAACAAAAAGAAAAAAATGTTTTCTAGTTCAAAATTTAGATTATTTGCATAAAAATATTTTTTAAGTGATTTCTTCTTTTCTTTCTTGACCTCTGAAACCAATATTTAAAAAAATAAAACTGCCAGTATAAATAGCATGTTGTCATATTTCCACCTTTGGGAGACAAGGTTTTGTTAATAATACTATGTGAATGAAGTGGGCTCTAAGATCTAATTCTGGTTCAGATATCCAGATGCTACTATGAGGCGAAGTTTTGTCCACATTCATAATAGATCACTTGACTTGTTGAGCTTTGAGACTGATCTGGTTTGGCTCTGCATTTGGGGAAAAAAATTAAACTTTAAGGGGCAGCTAGGTGGCACAGCGGATAGAGCACAGGCCCCTGAAGTCAGGAGGACCTGAGTTCAAATTTGACCTCAAACCAAACACTTGACATTTACAAGCTGTGTGACCCTGGGCAAGTCACTTAACCCCAATTGCCTAAAAACTTTAAAAAAAAATTAAGCTTTACTTAATTTTGCTTTTGCTTTCTTAAAACAAATTTTTCCATCTATACTTACACATTCACTTGGAATTTGATCTCTGCCCTCCCTAAGCCTTCTTTTTTATGACAAGTGACTAGCTGTAGTATGCAGGCAACAAGCTAACTATTTCTCTGGTAGTCATTATCTCAATAGTAGAAGAAGATATGGATAATTGAATGGGGTAAGCATTGCTTCTGATCACAATTGCTTCTTTCTCAGACAACGCAAGGATGAGCTAGAACAGAGGATGTCTGCTCTTCAGGAGAGCCGGAGAGAGCTGATGGTCCAGTTGGAAGGTCTCATGAAGCTACTAAAGGTAAACCATTTTGAATAAAATATCCCACGATTCTGGGATTAATTTTTAATTGGTTAATTTTTAAATAAATTTTAAAAATAAATCATTTAGGTTTTTTCTAATTTTTATATTAGTGACCCCTAAATTTTGTTCCTAGCTCAATCAGCTCCTAGCCTCAGGTTAAATCAGGCAGCCAGTCAATAACACTAACAGAAAGCTCACTTTGTACCAATCTTTCTCATCAATTTATCTTAACCCAGCAGGCTACTGAAAATCCAATTAGGCAGTGGTCCAAAGTTCCAATTGTTTTACGTCCTTGAAAATAATAAAATTTTAATACTTTATAAATACCTTAAAATTTGTCCTTTGAACTAATTTACATTAGTTATCTCTCAAACTATTCTTACATGCTGAGCTTAAGTGACATCTGTCATGATTAAAAATTCACCAGGCCTTTATGTATATAGTTGAGAAACGCATAAAATTCCATGAAATAGAATCTAGAGATCTCAGCATTGCAAAAAAGCTCAGATATGACATAGACTCACTCATACCCCACCAGGAATCCCCCTACAATATCCATAATAAGTAATCATTTGTCAGGCTTCCACTGGTGGAAGACTCAGTATCTTTCAGGGTGGCCCATTCCACTTTTAGATAGCTTCAATTGTCTCCTGTGTTTGATGTGTTACATCAATTCAAAATCTTAGTCTCTCTCTCTCTCTCTCTCTCTCTCTCTCTCTCTCTCTCTCTCTCTCTCTGTCTCTGTCTCTGTCTCCCTCTCTCTCTCTGTCTCTCTCTGTCTCTGTGTCGCACTGTCTCTGTATCTCTCTGTCTCTCTCAATTCTTCCTTTGCCTTTTAAGGAAAAGCAGAATCCACATATTCCTTTTTCCACATAACATCCCTCCAAATTTTGAGACTATTATGCCCTCCTGTCTCCTTTCCCCCACTCCCCTTATTAAGACTAAGCAAAATTTCTACAACTGAACCTTCTTTCAAATCCCCTCACTATCCTGTTTTCTTTTCTCAGACATTTTCCAGCTTTCAGTGTCTTTCCTGAAATAATAAGGCATGTGAAAATGAAAACTGAGTAAATACTCTATATGCATGAGATTGTAAGTTCCTTGAAGGCAGGGACTGTCTTTTGCCTCTTTTTGTATACCCAGTGCTTAGCACAGTACAGGCACTTAATAGACATTTACTGATTGATAGATTGACATCCAGTCCAGCCAGGTCAAAAAGAATGGAACCGTCACCTCCTCTAGCCATTTCAGCATTTGTAATTTCTTTTCTGTGAGTATTCTTTTCAGTGATGGAGCTTGCTCAGTAACTTAGTATATGGTCTCCCTTGAGTTGCTGTGTGCCAACAATCATCCCCCTGGTTTTTTGATTCTTCAGACTTCACCTGGGCTGGCCCTCAGACAACAGACTGCGTCCATCACCAAGCCCACACCCAAAGTTTTTCCACATTGGTAGGAACTCCCAGAGCCTATATTTTGCTCAGTTATCTCCCTTCTGAGATCACTTCCTGGGATCACTTGCAGGCCATGATGGGGCTTTGTGAAGCATTACATCAGTGAAGAGTTCTGGACACAGTGTTTATGTTAATGCAGCCTAATAGCCATTTGTCGCCTTTTTCCTTTTCTTGTCTCATAGTTAGCTGATAATCACCTCCTGGTCTTTCTCCTAGAATCTTTCATCTAGCCATTTTCTAGTCATCTACTCATTTCCCCTATCCTGCACTTACGCAGTTGATATTTTTAGCCCTGCTGTGGGGTTGGGGGGTGTTTGTTTTGTTCTGCTTTATCTCTGCAAAGCTTTATTTTATTGTATCAGGCCCAATGATTCTAGCCAGTTGAGACCTTTTTGGATCCTTATCCCAGCATTCAGCATCTTGGCTGTCCCTCCCAGCTTCATGTCATGTGCACATTGGATAAACATCTCCTCTCTGCTTCATTCACGTCATTAATAAAATCATCAAACAGAACAGGGCTAAGGATGGACCCCCTGTGCCACTCCTCTTATTTTGTTTGTGGTTCTCTCATGAAGAATAATTCTTTTCTAACTGAGGTAAAACCTCACCTTTTGGCCACGTGACCTTGGGCAAATCACAAATCTTTTTGAGCTTCCCTTGTCAATCTGTAAAATGAATATAATATTCAAATTGCCTACATGCAGGATTCTTCACCAACCTACCTCTAGAAGTCCCTTTTTGCCTTTCTTTTGTGGACAGTGAAGTTCCCACTCTTCCTATAATAAAGAATTAGCTTCTCATTCAAGAAAAACTGAGTACAGGGCAGATTTAACCTGACTTTTCCTATACAGGATGGCCAGAGAGTAGTGGAAATCGGGGTTCAGATTTATGATGCTCAGTCTGCCCTCTCTAAAGTGTGGTATGCTGTAGGGTAAATAAAAACTTCTGTTGGCTTGCCAGCAAAGGGAACAGACCCTTCTGAGAAGATACCATTGACTGAGAGGCAGTGTGACATAGTGGATAGAATACTGGTCTTGCAATCTGGGTAAACCTGGGCAAAAATCCTGCTTCTGACACTAACTAGCTGTGTGAGCCTGAGCAAGTCACTTAACTTCTGTGCCTCAGTTTCTTCATCTGTAAGATGAAAAGGTTGGACTCAGTGCCCTCTAAATCTATGATACTTATAAAATTAAATCTATGATACTTATAAAATTAAATTCCCAAAGGAGATTTCCCTGTGAGATACACGGTGATGCAATGTTTCCTGAACCTCACCTCTGACAGGAGAAGGGGGGCAGACTCATTTTTACAGTGTGTTTTTTATCCTTACTGTATTCTCATCTTCCTATCAACTTCTCTTGTGTCTTCTGCCACCTAGGATGTAAGGAAAACTGTACTGACTTCCTTTCATTAGTTCAAAGATATATGGTCTTGTCTGTGTGGGTACTCCCTGCACTAGTATACTTCACTTCCCTCTTCCAGCCCACTCCTCCTAGGCCATATCATCTATTAGATGCCCATCAGGAATTCCTATGACCAAAGGCATTCACCACCTGCTGCCCAAACTTATAGTGATGAACCTTTTGAAAACACACTGGTCCTGAGATGATGTACTTAGCACTCTATCACCAAGTCCTTCTAGCTCAGTAGAAACTGTCAGAACATGAAGTCCACTGACATAGAAGTCAGGGTCCACCTTCATGCCAGAGAGCAGAACTTTGTTAGGTAAACTTGCATTTTGAGAGCATTAAACAAATTGAGTGGTTTTTTTTCTTCTCCTGCCTCCAAAGATAGTATCCAGATTCATTTCTGTCCATTCTGTTCATTGTGTCTGTGTGTGTGCTGACTCCATCACTACCTTGATGACCCAAAGCAGTTCTCTCTGCTTATTTTCCTAATAAATAGATTGAGAGGGCCTATTTCCATAAGCCTGGCATTATACTTTTTAGAGGATGACCCCCTAATCCAGAACACTCTGTGCCTATAGCTTTTGTCACCACAATGATTTGACATATTTGATGACCAAATAGTCCATCCTTCCCTTAAACATCATTCTGCAGAGAGGCTGCCATGTCAAAGTTATAATTTCAGGTTATAATATATATTATTGGTAACCAAAAAGTTTTGGTGATTCCTGTTGGGAAAGAAACTTCTGTCAAGCATAAACAGGTGTGGTGTTATTGGGTTTGGTTTTTTGAGGGTTTGGTTGGGTTTTTTTAAATCTATTTGCATAAAGAAAGCTAGGTCCTCAAAAGAGGAAAATGTTATGAGTTCCCAAAATAAGAATGTTTGTTGAAATAGAAAAGATTTGATTTTTACTAAAGGTTTGCTGATATTTGTCTTGCTTAACATTCATTCACATAGGGTATGCTGTTATTGAACTCCTGAGTAATCTAACTATTATTGATTGAATTTTTCCATAGGAAGAAGAACTGAAACAGGGAGTAAGTTATTTTTCCTAATGTAGGTCTTGACTGACAATGGCGTGTAAACAGGCATCTTGTGGCTTTTCCTACTGTTCTTGCCTCTAACATGTGTGTGTTCATGCTTCATTTTGAAAGGAAAATATCCTCCTAATTTGCCTCCATTTTTGTGTGTTTGCTTGTGTTGAGATTTAGAAGTGGTATTTTTCATGCCTGTTATTACTGTCAGCATCAAACAGTTACAAAAGAGAACAGAGCGTACTTCTCTTAAAGCCTTTTCACATCTACAGGGATTTAAGTTTCTAACCAATTTCATGCCTTTCTCAGTTGTTCAGACTAAACAAAATACTCTCTTTTTTTATTGATTTAAAGATACACACTAACTAAAGCCACACTGGAGCTAAATATTGTCTTGAAGATTTCACAGTTTTCAATACATAATTTCTACATCCTTCATAAAAAATACAAGCTGTAGATATTGCATTTCCAACTGGATACATAAATGTGAAGCCGCCTTTTGTAAAAAACAGCCCATTAAAGTTCGTAACCATCTCATAAGTACTCTGCCCTGTTTCATGCTGCTCACTCAAATGAACTCATTCTTATCAAAAAAGATTGCAAAGAGATTATCACAGGGAGCAGCCTTTTGGCTTTTCACATCCAGACCCAAGCAAAAATCCTTTTATTGGTCTAAATTACTCATTAATGAGTGAGTAACTTTCAGTTGTTATTCTGCCACTGAGAGCTTTTTCTCTCATATAAGAGGCCATGAGATCATTAAATCCGTCTCCTGGTGCAGTTTTGGCCACATTATTATGTGGTAATCATAGTATATTGTGTGAGAAAATTCTCAGCTTCATGGTCAGGTTCAGAATCCAGCAGAGGGAGCAGTGTACTTAAAAACACAAATAAAGTGAAATACAGCAGCTTTTAGTTCAAGTGCATGTATCAAGCTGGGTGTCTGTAACATACCCACTAATTCAAAGTTACAAAGAAGTTTAAAGTCAGGTTCATAGATCAATTGGAATAATACTCTTGCAAAAACCAAGCAATTCTTTAATGTCTTTAAATTTCCTTTGCCTCTGTCTTGCCTTTTATTCATTGTGTGTGTGTGTGTGTGTGT